GCGGCACGGCGCTCCGGGCCCTGCCCTCCTCCTTCTCCTCCTCCTCCTCCTCCTCCTCCTCCTCCTCCTCCTCCTCTTCCTCCTCCTCCTCCTCCTCCTCCTCCTCCTCCTCCTCCTGCCCCACTCCCTCCCCCTCCACCTCTCCCTCCCCCCCCTCCTCCTCCTCCTCCCTCCTCCTCCTCCTCCTCCTCCTCCTCTCCTCCTCCTCCTCCTCCTCCTCCTCCTCCTCCTCCTCCTCCTCCTCCTCCTCCCTCCTCCTCCTCGGGGGGCTCGCGGGGCGCACCTGGGGGCCGCGCCACGCCACGCCGCCCTTGCCGACCAGCCACAACTGGGGGAGCTGTGGTCCTTGCCCCCCTGGGGGAAGCCATCGCGTCGACGATCTCTCGAGAGGGGTGTCGAAATCGATGGGTCCCCCAGGGGGGTAAGGACCACCGCTCCCCCAGTTGTGGCTGGCCTGCCTTGCGTTGTGGCAACCCTCCCCCTGGTGGGGTCCTCGTTGTGGACGGGGCATCGCTTGCTCCATTCAGTCAGTCATGCCAGCGGAAACGCGCGTCAATGCCGCGCGCCCCAAACACCCCGCGGCCCGCCAACATGCGACCCGCTCACACCTTGGAGGTGGGTGGAGAACCCTTCCCGGTGCACCGCCAGACACCGAGGCACCCCTGTGGGGGCTTGGGGGCATCGCTTGCTCCAAGCTCCTTGCTCCCGCCTCCCTCCCCCACCCCGTTTCCTTATAACAAACTCCTTCCCATCGCACCCCGAGGCGTGTCGGTAGGGCGGGCCAGGCGTTTCGCATGAGACCTTCTCACCACTTATGACCCTGCAGCTTGAACTCTGCAGCAGCCTCATGGATGGAGGGCGGTTCGTTTTTCGAAATGGTGCTCTCGCCGTAGCGCCGCGCACATGCATCTTAAACATCTGCAGCATGTCATAGGATGCCGGGCGGGCCGTGTCAGACATGCGCCTTTCGCATTAGCGCCGCGCGCATGTGTCAGGAACATTCTGCAACATCGGGGATCTTCTGACCCGGGTCAATCCAGACCCGGGTCAGCAGGATACCAAAAACTGCAACGCAGGAGAAATTATCCCGGCAAAGCAACCTAACAGCGATGTGTAGGAGCATATCTGAAAGCATTCCCCTTAAGATTCAGATGAAAATCCAGTTGTCGAATTCTGCTGTTCTCGCAGTCGTAGTCGCATTCGCGATGACAGTCGCAGCGGCAACGGCAGTCGCAGTCACAGCCTCAGCCTCAGCCTGCCTCAGCCTCAGCCTCAGCCTGCAGCCTCAGCCTGCCTCAGCCTCAGCCTCAGCCTGCTTCAGCCTCAGCCTCAGTCTGCCTTCAGCCTCGGCCTCAGCCTCAGCCTGCCTCAGCCTCAGCCTGCATCAGCCTCAGCCTCAGCCTGCCTGCAGCATCAGCCTGCCTCAGCCTCAGCCTCAGCCTGCCTCAGCCTCAGCCTCAGCCTCAGCCTGCTTCAGCCTCAGCCTCAGTCTGCCTTCAGCCTCGGCCTCAGCCTCAGCCTGCCTCAGCCTCAGCCTGCCTCGGCCGCAGCATCAGCCTGCCTCAGCATTCAAAATGTGGCCCAGGAATGGAGTTCTGGGAACTCGAAGAACACGAAGTGGCCTACAGTTGGCTCCGGGCATTCAAAATCATGCCCAGGAATGGAGTTCTGGGAACTTGAAGAGCACGAAGTGGCCTACAGTTGGCTCCGGGCATCCAAAATGTGGCCCGGGAATGGAGTTCTGGGAAATCGAAGAGCACGAAGTGGCCTACAGTTGGCTCCGGGCATCCAAAATGTGGCCCGGGAATGGAGTTCTGGGAAATCGAAGAGCACGAAGTGGCCTACAGTTGGCTCCGGGCATCCAAAATGTGGCCCGGGAATGGAGTTCTGGGAGCACCAAGAGCGATTTTGCGAGGATGTCCTAAGCGATTTCGGCTTCGGCGGCAGCCTCGGCGGCAGCCTGTCCGGGTCCCGCCCAGACCCCCCTGAGGAGTCATGATGCTCTCTTTTGAAACCACTAGAAACCTATCAGCAAGAGCTGTTAGGTAAAAACTGCAACGCAGGTCTTCGCATACCCAGGTCAGCCAATATGCGCGGCCGCCTCGCGGCCACGAACGGCTCGCTAACCCAGGTCAGCCAGAGGGGGTCTTCGCAGGATCCTGCAGGATCCGGCGCCCTGGCTGACCCCCGTTTGCATTGACCCCCGTCTCTGGAGCCCCGACAACAACTTCAAACTATGAAGCCGGCTCGTTTCCACAATGCGGCTCTCGCCTCAGCGCCGCGCCTAGTCGTCCTAAAGCTCGCAGCAGCTTTCATGGAGGGCGTGCCGACTTCAGCCATACACCCTGCGAGATGCTTAAAAAATCATGGGTTAAGAAATTCATAGTCTCAGAATTTGTATAACAACTCAAAATGTCTATTCAAATCTTAAGATTTACATTGAAACATTAAGAATAATCGAGACTCTGGCCGAAAACTTGGGTTTTCTTAAGCATCGCCTAGAGTGTACGCACGCATCTTCTTCGAAGACCGACGGCCGTACGCGGGCTGTCGCCAGAGAGCCGGCGAAAGGTGGGCTGTCCCCGTCCTTTCCCCTGTCTCCCTGCCCTCCCCTCTCACTCACCTCCCGATGCCCAGCCGTGGGCCGCGAAGAGTGTGCAGGGAGACGCGGGTGATCAACGTCTCCCTCTTCAGCTGAAGCGCCGGGATCGGCGCAGACTTGCGAGAACAGGTCAGGCTACAGCGCTGGGATCAGCGCGGACTCGCGAGAACAGCTCAGCTGCAGCGATGGGATCACCTCGCGTGGGAAGGGCGGCAGCGAGCAGTCCAGAGCAGCCACAGCGCTGGGAATCGTGCGCGCAAGGAGGAGCCGTGGGGCGGACCTCGTGCTCCAGGCAGGCGGTGGGCGACATGTCGGGCACGACGCTGGGTCCTCCTCCTCCTCCTCCTCCCCCTCCTCCTCCTCTTTCTCCTCCCTCCTCCTCGTTCTCCTCCTCCTCCTCCTCCTCCTCCTCCTCCTCCTCCTCCAGTTGCTCGTGAGCGAAGGCTCAGCCACAGGCTACAGAGTAGTCCATGCGGAAAGGAGCTGTGAGCCGAAGCTCGAGCTACAGACAGGCCGTGGGCGACGTCTCGGCTACACCGCGGGGGGTTCAAGCGAGAAGGGCGGCAGCGAGCGAAGTCTCAGCTACAACGCTGGGAGTAGCTCACGCGAACAGCTAGGCCGAGGGAGACACTTGAAGCACAACGCCGAGAGCAGTTCATGTGAGAAGGCAGGCCGCGAGAGACACATCGGCTACAACGATGGGAAGTGCTTATGCGAGAAGGTAGGCAGTGAGCGACACTCGCCATCGCTCGGACGCCCATTCCTCCGTACAGTTTTCGATCTCGTGCGTTTTGGGGGGGCTCGATGATCCAGGATTCCTCGATGGCCCATGGCCCTCGCCGAGGAAACAATGCACACGCCCAAGCGATGCCAGGGACATATCAGCTACGTTGCTGACAATAGTTCGTGTGAGAAAGCAGGTCCCATATCAGCTGCAACGCTGGGGGTAGTCCATGTGCCAAGGGAGGCAATGAACAACAGATAACTTGCCGTCGCTCGGACTTTACTTTCCCGTGCATGTTTCGGTGTCGTGCGTGTTGTTGTTGCTCGATGGTCCTGGATGGTCCTCGATGGATCTCGCCGAGAAAAAATGCACACGTCCGAGCGATGCCAATATGAGCTACAACGCTGGGAGTAGCTCACTTGAGAAGGACGGCAGTGAGCGCAATGTCAGCTGCAATGCTGGGAGCAGTTCAAGCGAGGAGGAAGGCAATGTCTGTGCACACGGTCATTTCAAGAAATGCGAGGAAAGGCTGGGGGTGAAGCCGAGCCAGGCCCGCCACATGACCCCTGTGGAAGAGGGTGCGCGTAGCTGGATACAAATGTTACCAGCTACAGACAGGCTGTGTGTGCAAGGCTGGACTTTTCGGAGCCCGGCCCATGACGCCCAGAATAGGCCTGGGGAATGGTTAACGCCTATGTCCGTCGTCCCCAGGGGTGATTCCTACTGTGGAGTTGATCAGGCAAGCTGGACCCAGATAGATCCCCCTCCTCCACCTCCCCCTCCTCGCTCTCCTCCTCCTCGGTCCTCCGCCCCCTCCCCCTCCTCCTCGGTCCTCCCCCTCCACCTCCCCCTCCTCCTCTTCGGTCCTCCCCCTCCTCCTCCCCCTCCTGAGGACCTCCACCTTCTGAGCGGCAGCTCGGGAGGGGGAAGCGTCGAGCAGGAAGCGGCGACGCGCAGCACATGCCCTCGGCGACGGGCCACCCGAGGGCGAATCCGCACGCTCCTGGACGGTGGCGGGCTCTTGGGCCCCTATCGGTGACGCATGGGCGATTGGGGGCGCGCGGCTCAGGGGGAAAAGCATCTAGCTTGAATCGTCGAGGGGGAGGAGGAGGAGGAGGAGGAGGAGGAGGAGGAGGAGGAGGAGGAGGAGGAGGAGGAGGAGGAGGAGGAGGAGGAGGAGGAGGAGGAGGAGGAGGAGGAGGAGGAGGAGGAGGAGGAGGAGGAGGAGGAGGAGGAGGAGGAGGAGGAGGAGGAGGAGGAGGAGGAGGAGGAGGAGGAGAAGGAGGAGGATACACCGCCGATAGATCGGCGTCAGCCCCCAGATAGAGGATCGGCCCGTTCCTGGGCGGGGCGAGCCGGCCATCGGGCCCCTCTCGGCGAGGCATGGACGAGCTAGGGCTCCCAACTTCGCGCTTCGCGCTGCGCGAAGCGCGAAGCGCGAATAACTTCGCGCCCTCGCGCCGCCCTCCCAAAGGGAGAATAGGAGGACGAGGAGGAGGGGGAGAAGGAACGAGGACCGCGAAGCGCGAATAACTTCGCGCCCTCGCGCCGCCCTCCCAAAGGGAGAATAGGAGGACGAGGAGGAGGGGGAGGAGGAACGAGGACCGCGAAGCGCGAAGCGCGAATAACTTCGCGCCCTCGAGGGAGCCCTTGTCGATGAACCCCCCCCCGAACCTGTCCTCCATTTGACGCTGAAACCGAGAAGATCTGTTACGGAATGCGCCCTCAGCGACGACTGGTGATCTGCCCTCTCGCCCGCATTTGCAGATCCAGCTCACTCGCCAGCACGACACGAGCCGAAGCGAATCCGATGTCTTGGTAGATCCCACCTGATTGAACACTGAGAATATGGATAGCATTCGTTGCACAACATTTTACCTACACTATCGGCTCGCTTCGGAATCCACCTTCACACCCTCTAAAGCATCTGTGTATATCCGCTTGAAAATGCGGTAGCCGTAAAAAAGACTGCCGCAGAGCACAATTCCTAATGCTCCCAATACGATCGGCATTTCTTTCCATGGCCGTATCATCTCAGCAATGCGGTCCTCGCCCCTACCATCAAAGATCTCTGCAAACGAGGCCAGCGACGAACCTGCGAGCACGCCTATGACGCTCCAAGGTACGCCGAATATCGCGGAGGCGATGAGGAAATCAAGGAACGGCGCACCACACGCCGCCAACCCCAAACTCTTCGCAATCGTGGGTATTGGCGCGAAGCGCACAAGGCAAATCATCTTGAAGGGCTCCGTTTTGATGGCTCGCGTCGTCGCCCTGAATATTGGAAACCGCGGCAGCACACGCTCCTCCACAACCCGAGCAAGCAACGTGCGGCCAAGAACAAATGCCACGGCACCTGATGTAATTTTTGCAGCTGCTGCCAGTGCGATGGCAGTGGCGAGTCCCTCGCGCTGCGCATAGAGCAGACCGCCTGCCATCTCGAGCGGTGCCGTAGGTACCATAACCAAAGTGGCCGCCACAAAGAACAGTGCATACAAGAGCATGCCCACATACCCAAGTGCCTCTGCGGCAACCATGAGGGCCACAAGCAATTGCACCAGTTCCCGCCGCCAGAAGTGCGCCAAAGCAAACAGCATAACGGCCAAGCCTGCAACCATTACGCGCTTCACGGTGACCGTCATTGGCAACGACGAGTTTCAAGCAAATATCGAGCCAACAAGATTACAATGCCTGCTCCCAAAATACGCGTTGAGCCGAAACGGCTGCACAAACACCTTTCGTGACTGTGTCATGCCGGCACTGCCTCATGCTGGCACTGTCCCGTGCCGCGCTTGCTCGTTTATGCCAGGCACTTTGGAAGTACAGGATGTCCGTTCAGGTAGACCTGAGACAATATCACACCTCAGTCGGATATGCACGCCACCAATCCTCTTCGCCTCTTCCCTTTCTCACCTCTGAAGGGCAACGGCAAGGAGGAAGACCTGAGGAGGAGGAGGAGGAGGAGGAGGAGTCGGAGGAGGAGGAGGAGAGGGACGACGACAACCATCCATCTTGGCACAACCCACGCTCACGCATGCTGGGCGCACACATGCGCGGCCGAATACAAACATTGCGGCACGTGTCGGTCACCGCCGAAAGTGTGCGGAGAGCGAGGGACATCGAGCACACGGGCTAAGGTGACCCCGCACTCTGGTGCCGAGTTGGTCAGCAGTGGCCTCGGGCACGGCACAACACTGATTTTAACGACACCCCCGCTCCACTGCCACAGCAACCCTACAGCACGAAGGATCAGATTTTACCCTACTGCATGTGCACACCACTCCTGGATCTCAGAGAGATTCGCACACATAATGTCTCATCACGCACTCGCCCAAGCGCTGCTTCGTCAACGACCGTCTGCCTCGGTTGTGGACATGCTCGACCACCCACTCTGTCACAGCCAAGCAACAAGCACGCACACTGGGCGCAGACGACAGGCCCAACGCGCATCGCTGCGGATGCTCAGTTGTGGACAGCTGAATCACTAGAGAACCCTGAACGGTACCCAAAGGCAGAAGTGCGGGCAAACTGACGGACGAGCCAGAACGGAAAGGAGGAAGACCTGAGCAGGAGGAGGAGAAGGAGGAGAGGGACGAGGACGGCGACAACCATCCATCTTGGTACAACCCACGCTCACGCATGCCGCACACATGCGCGGCCGAATACAAACATTGCGGCACGTGTCGGTCACCGCCGAAAGTGTGCGGAGAGAGAGGGACCTCGCGCACACGGACTAAGGTGACCCCGCACTCTGGTGCCGAGTTGGTCAGCAGTGGCCTCGGGCACGGCACAACACTGATTTTAACGACACCCCCGCTCCACTGCCACACCAATCCTACAGCACGAAGGATCAGATTTTACCCTACTGCATGTGCACACCACTCCTGGATCTCAGAGAGATCCGCACACATAATGTCTCATCACGCGCTCGCTCAAGCGCTGCTTCGTCAACGACCGTCTGCCTACAATAATTCAGCGCTAGAAAATTCAACCTGCGACGGAACCAACGCCCCGTGCATGACCTCAAGTCATGATCATGTAGACTTGTAGGTCGCTCAACATTGGAGAACAAATAGTGTTCTGCTCAGCGACCGGAGCCTCAGCTCTGGTGCCAACAACGTTTCTCATCATAGCGACACGTATGACGTATGCTAACATATCGAATAGCACATGCGGTTGTGGACATGCTCGGCAAGCCACTTTGCCACAGCCAAGCATCAAGCACGAACACTGGGCGCAGACGACATGCCCAATGCGCATCGCTGCGAATGCTCAATTGTGGACAGCTGAATCACTAGAGAACCCTAGATGGTACCCAAAGGCAGAAGTGCGGGCAAACTGACGGACGAGCCAGGACGGAAAGGAAGAAGACCTGAGCACGAGGAGGAGGAGCAGGAGGAGAGGGACGAGCACGGCGACAACCATCCATTTTTGCACAACCCACGCTCACGCATGCTGGGCGCACACATGCGCGGCCGAATACAAACATTGCGGCACGTGTCGGTCACCGCCGAAAGTGTGCGGAGAGAGAGGGACCTCGCGCACACGGACTAAGGTGACCCCGCACTCTGGTGCCGAGTTGGTCAGCAGTGGCCTCGGGCACGGCACAACACTGATTTTAACGACACCCCCGCTCCACTGCCACACCAATCCTACAGCACGAAGGATCAGATTTTACCCTACTGCATGTGCACACCACTCCTGGATCTCAGAGAGATTCGCACACGTCATGTCTCATCACGCGCTCGCTCAAACGCTGCTTCGTCAACGACCGCCTGCCTGCAATAATTCATTGCTAAGAAATTGAAGCTGCGACGGAATCAACGTCCCGTGCATGACCTCAAGTCATGATCATGTAGAATTGTAGGTCGCTCAACATTGGAGAACAAATGAACAAATAGTGTTCTGCTCAGCGACCGGAGCCTCAGCTCTGGTGCCAACAACGTTTCTCATCATAGCGACACGTATGACGTATGCTAACATGTCGAATACCACATGCGGTTGTGGACATGCTCGGCAAGCCACTTTGCCACAGCCAAGCATCAAGCACGAACACTGGGCGCAGACGACATGCCCAACGCGCATCGCTGCGAATGCTCAATTGTGGACAACTGAATCACTAGAGAACCCTAGATGGTACCCAAAGGCAGAAGTGCGGGCAAACTGACGGACGAGCCAGAACGGAAAGGAAGACCTGAGCAGGAGGAGGAGGAGCAGGAGGAGAGGGACGAGGACGGCGACAACCATCCATGTTGGCACAACCCACGCTCACGCATGCTGGGCGCACACATGCGCGGCCGAATACAAACATTGCGGCACGTGTCGGTCACCGCCGAAAGTGTGCGGAGAGAGAGGGACCTCGCGCACAAGGCGACCCCGCACTCTGGTGCCGAGTTGGTCAGCAGTGGCCTCGGGCACGGCACAACACTGATTTTAACGACACCCCCGCTCCACTGCCACACCAATCCTACAGCACGAAGGATCAGATTTTACCCTACTGCATGTGCACGACACTCCTGGATCTCAGAGAGATTCGCACACGTAATGTCTCATCACGCACTCGCTCAAGCGCTGCTTCGTCAACGACCTCCTGCCTGCAATAATTCAGCGCTAGGAAATTCAACCTGCGACGGAACCAGCGTCCTGAGCATGACCTCAAATCATGATCATATAGACTTGTGCGACGCTCAACATTGGAGAACAAATAGTGTTCTGCTCAGCGACCGGAGCCTCAGCTCTGGTGCCAACAACGTTTCTCATCATAGCGACACGTATGCTAAGATGTCGAATACCACGTGCGGCAGTGGACACGCTCGACCACCCACTTTGTCACAGCCAAGCAGCAAGCACGCACACTGGGCGCAGACGACAGGCCCAACGCGCATCGCTGCGGATGCTCAATTGTGGACAGCTGAATCACTAGAGAACCCTAGATGGTACCCAAAGGCAGAAGTGCGGGCAAACTGACGGACGAGCCAGAACGGAAAGGAGGAAGACCTGAGCAGGAGGAGGAGGAGGAGAGGGACGAGGACGGCGACAACCATCCATGTTGGCACAACCCACGCTCACGCATGCTGGGCGCACACATGCGCGGCCGAATACAAACATTGCGGCACGTGTCGGTCACCGCCGAAAGTGTGCGGAGAGAGAGGGGCCTCGCGCACACGGACTAAGGTGACCCCGCACTCTGGTGCCGATTCGGTCAGCAGTGGCCTTGGGCACGGCACAACACTGATTTTAACGACACCCCCGCTCCACTGCCACACCAACCCTACAGCAGGAAGGATCAGATTTTACCCTACTGCATGTGCACACCACTCCTGGATCTCAGAGAGATTCGCACACAGAATGTCTCATCACGCGCTCGCTCAAGCGCTGCTTCGTCAACGACCGTCTGCCTACAATAATTCAGCGCTAGAAAATTCAACCTGCGACGGAACCAGCGTCCTGAGCATGACCTCAAGTCATGATCATGTAGACTTGTAGGTCGCTCAACATTGGAGAACAAATAGTGTTCTGCTCAGCAACCGGAGCCTCAGCTCTGGTGCCAACAACGTTTCTCATCATAGCGACACGTATGCTAACATGTCGAATACCACGTGCGGTAGTGGACATGCTCGACCACCCACCTTGTCACAGCCAAGCACCAAGCACGCACACTGGGCGCAGACGACAGGCCCAACGCGCATCGCTGCGGATGCTCAATTGTGGACAGCTGAATCACTAGAGAATCCTGAACGGTACCCAAAGGTAGAAGTGCGGCCAAACTGACAGACGAGCCAGAACGAACGAGGTCGAAGACCTGAGCAGGAGGAGGAGGATGAGGAGGAGATGGACGACGACAGCCATCCATCTTGGCACAACCCACGCTCACGCATGCTGGGCGCACACATGCGCGGCCGAATACAAACATTGCGGCACGTGTCGGTCACCGCCGAAAGTGTGCGGAGAGAGAGGGACCTCGCGCACACGGACTAAGGTGACCCCGCACTCTGGTGACAAGTTGGTCAGCAATGGCCTCGGGCACGGCACAACACTGATTTTAATGACACCCCCGCTCCACTGCCACACCAACCCTACAGCACGAAGGATCAGATTTTACCCTACTGCATGTGCACACCACTCCTGGATCTCAGAGAGATTCGCACACGTAATGTCTCATCACGCACTCGCTCAAGCGCTGCTTCGTCAACGACCTCCTGCCTGCAATAATTCAGCGCTGGAAAATTCAACCTGCGACGGAACCAGCGTCCTGAGCATGACCTCGAGTCATGATCATGTAGACTTGTAGGTCGCTCAACATTGGAGAACAAATAGTGTTCTGCTCAGCGGCAGGAGCCTCAGCTCTGGTGCCAACAACGTTTCTCATCATAGCGACACGTATGCTAGCATGTCGAATAACACGTGCGGTAGTGGACATGCTCGATCACCCACCTTGTCACAGCCAAGCATCAAGCACGCACACTGGGCGCAGACGACAGGCCCAACGCGCATCGCTGCGGATGCTCAATTGTGGACAGCTGAATCACTAGAGAACCCTGAACGGTACCCAAAGGCAGAAGTGCGGGCAAACTGACGGACGAACGACCTGAGCAGGAGGAGGAGGAGGAGGAGGAGGATGAGGAGGAGAGGGACGACGACAACCGTCCATCTTGGCACAACATACGCTCATGCATGCTGGACGCACACATGCGCGGCCGAATACAAACATTGCGGCACGTGTCG